TGCAGTGATTTGAATAACTCCCATGTGCAGTGATTTGAGTAACTCCCATGTGCAGTGATTTGAATAACTCCCATGTGCAGTGGTTTGAATAACCTCCATGTGCAGTGATTTGAATAACTCTCATGTGCAGTGGTTTGAATAACTCCCATGTGCAGTGGTTGAATAACCTCCATGTGCAGTGGTTTGAATAACCTCCATGTGCAGTGGTTTGAATAACCTCCATGTGCAGTGGTTTGAATAACTCCCAAGTGCAGTGGTTTGAATAACTCCCATGTGCAGTGGTTTGAGTAACTCCCATGTGCAGTGGTTTGAATAACTCCCATGTGCAGTGGTTTGAGTAACACCCATGTGCAGTGGTTGAATAACACCCATGTGCAGTGGTTTGAATAACTCCCATATGCAGTGGTTTGAATAACTCCCATGTGCAGTGGTTTGAGTAACTCCCATGTGCAGTGGTTGAATAACCTCCATGTGCAGTGGTTTGAATAACCTCCATGTGCAGTGGTTTGAATAACTCCCAAGTGCAGTGGTTTGAATCACTCCCATGTGCAGTGATTTGAGTAACTCCCATGTGCAGTGGTTTGAATAACTCCCATGTGCAGTGGTTTGAGTAACTCCCATGTGCAGTGGTTTGAATAACTCCCATGTGCAGTGGTTTGAGTAACTCCCATGTGCAGTGGTTTGAATAACCTCCATGTGCAGTGGTTTGAATAACCTCCATGTGCAGTGGTTTGAATAACTCCCAAGTGCAGTGGTTTGAATAACTCCCATGTGCAGTGGTTTGAGTAACTCCCATGTGCAGTGGTTTGAATAACTCCCATGTGCAGTGGTTTGAGTAACACCCATGTGCAGTGGTTGAATAACACCCATGTGCAGTGGTTGAATAACCTCCATGTGCAGTGATTTGAATAACTCCCATGTGCAGTGGTTTGAATAACCTCCATGTGCAGTGATTTGAATAACTCCCATGTGCAGTGGTTTGAATAACTCCCATGTGCAGTGGTTTGAGTAACTCCCATGTGCAGTGGTTTGAATAACTCCCATGTGCAGTGGTTTGAATAACTCCCATGTGCAGTGGTTTGAGTAACTCCCATGTGCAGTGGTTTGAATAACTCCCATGTGCAGTGGTTTGAGTAACTCCCATGTGCAGTGGTTTGAGTAACTCCCAAGTGCAGTGGTTTGTATAACTCCCATGTGCAGTGATTTGAGTAACTCCCATGTGCAGTGGTTTGAATAACTCCCAAGTGCAGTGGTTTGAGTAACTCCAATGTGCAGTGGTTTGAATAACTCCCATGTGCAGTGGTTTGAGTAACTCCCATGTGCAGTGGTTGAATAACCTCCATGTGCAGTGGTTTGAGTAACTCCCATGTGCAGTGGTTGAATAACCTCCATGTGCAGTGATTTTAATAACTCCCATGTGCAGTGGTTTGAATAACTCCCATGTGCAGTGGTTGAATAACCTCCATGTGCAGTGGTTTGAGTAACTCCCATGTGCAGTGGTTGAATAACCTCCATGTGCAGTGTTTTGAGTAACTCCCATGTGCAGTGGTTGAATAACCTCCATGTGCAGTGATTTGAATAACTCCCATGTGCAGTGGTTTGAATAACTCCCTTGTGCAGTGATTTGAGTAACTCCCAAGTGCAGTGGTTTGAGTAACTCCCATGTGCAGTGGTTTGAATAACTCCCATGTGCAGTGATTTGAGTAACTCCCATGTGCAGTGATTTGAATAACTCCCATGTGCAGTGATTTGAGTAACTCCCATGTGCAGTGATTTGAGTAACTCCCATGTGCAGTGATTTGAATAACTCCCATGTGCAGTGGTTTGAATAACCTCCATGTGCAGTGGGTTGAATAACCTCCATGTGCAGTGGTTTGAGTAACTCCCATGTGCAGTGATTTGAGTAACTCCCATGTGCAGTGATTTGAATAACTCCCATGTGCAGTGGTTTGAGTAACTCCCATGTGCAGTGGTTTGAATAACTCCCATGTGCAGTGTTTTGAGTAACTCCCATGTGCAGTGGTTGAATAACCTCCATGTGCAGTGGTTTGAATAACCTCCATGTGCAGTGGTTTGAATAACTCCCTTGTGCAGTGGTTTGAGTAACTCCCATGTGCAGTGGTTTGAGTAACTCCCATGTGCAGTGGTTGAATAACCTCCATGTGCAGTGGTTTGAATAACCTCCATGTGCAGTGGTTTGAATAACTCCAATGTGCAGTGGTTTGAGTAACTCCCATGTGCAGTGGTTTGAGTAACTCCCATGTGCAGTGATTTGAATAACTCCCAAGTGCAGTGGTTTGAATAACCTCCATGTGCAGTGATTTGAATAACTCCCATGTGCAGTGGTTTGAATAACTCCCATGTGCAGTGGTTTGAGTAACTCCCATGTGCAGTGGTTGAATAACCTCCATGTGCAGTGGTTTGAATAACCTCCATGTGCAGTGATTTGAATAACTCCCATGTGCAGTGATTTGAGTAACTCCCATGTGCAGTGATTTGAATAACTCCCATGTGCAGTGGTTTGAATAACCTCCATGTGCAGTGATTTGAATAACTCTCATGTGCAGTGGTTTGAATAACTCCCATGTGCAGTGGTTTGAGTAACTCCCATGTGCAGTGGTTGAATAACCTCCATGTGCAGTGGTTTGAATAACCTCCATGTGCAGTGATTTGAATAACTCCCATGTGCAGTGGTTTGAGTAACTCCCATGTGCAGTGATTTGAGTAACTCCCATGTGCAGTGGTTTGAATAACTCCCATGTGCAGTGGTTGAATAACCTCCATGTGCAGTGGGTTGAATAACTCCCTTGTGCAGTGGTTTGAGTAACTCCCACGTGCAGTGATTTGAATAACCTCCATGTGCAGTGAGTGGGTTTGGGGAAATCCAGGATTAGATCTTGTCGTTCAAGCCTTGCGGGTGGATGGTTTTGAGATCAAATATCCATTTAAGTTCAATGGACTGGCGCCTGGTCGTGCTCTGGGCTGACTCAGGGTCTGTTTTGAGCTGTTGTATGATTTGATAGTGTAGGTCTCTGGTTGAGTGTCCTACAGAATTGAAATGTTTGGCGACAGGTTTGTCCCTTTGGTGGTTTATATCTGCAAAGTGTTCTTTGAGTCTGATACAGAAGTGTCGTTTGGTCTCACCTACATATTGTTTGCCACATTTGGTGCAGTTAAGCAGATAGATTACGTTTCTGCTTTTGCAAGTGAAATGCGAATGGCATTTATATTTTTTACCTGTTGTGTGGCTATTGAAGGTGTTGACCGATTTCATGTTGGTGCAGGTTTTGCAAGCCTGTTTGTGACAGCTATCATCTAAATTGGGCATCGTACGGCCACTAATTTGTGGTTTGAGTGGAGGATAAGTGATGGCCGCTTTCATGAGAATGTCTCTAAGGGTGCGGTTTTTCCTGTATGCTGTGATGTGTGGGACTCGGAAAGTGTCTTTGCAGGTGTCTGATCCTAGGAGTAGGTGCCAGGATTTTTTGATCATGGAGCTCACCTTGAGTGCAGTGGGGTTGTAATCTGTAATAAAGATCACTGGTTTAGTGTCTTTGGGGGTGTGTCTGTTTGGGTGTTAAGAGGGATTTTCTCTCTTTGGTGTTTGCTTTTGTTTCATTGTCCAAGAGAATTTTCTTTGGATAACATCTGTTGAGGTAATACTTTACTAGATTGTTGCTGTGGAACTCATATTGTGATTGCGAGCTGCATATCTTTTTGAGTCGGAGGAATTGACTGTATGGTCCCTTGACTTTGATGTGTCGTGGGTGACAGGAGGTGTATAGCAGATAGGAGTGCGTATCTGTAGGTTTGCAATATAGGTCAAAGTCCAATTGATTTGTTTTTTGATTGAATATGACCCATGTGTCTAGGAAAGCTACTTTTTCTCTAGAGAATTCGGCAGTGAATTTGATTGTGGGATGTGATTGGTTCATTTCTTTGATGAAAGATTCTAACCTAGTGTAGCCTAGAGTCCAAATAAGGAAGATGTCGTCTATGAATCTGACGTAGAGGTTGGGGCTATCAGTGGTTTTGTTGAGAAGTTTGCCTTCTAGTTCTCCCATGAAAATGTTTGCGTATGATGGGGCTAATTTGGTGCCCATAGCTGTGCCTCCGATTTGTACAAAATGTTCATTGTTGAACACAAAGTTGTTTTTGTATAGAACAAGTCTAAGTAAAGAGAGTAAGCTGGTGGGGCTAATGGGCCAGTCAGGTTTGTGGCGTCTAATGGCCTGAGCTACTGAACGGAGGCCTTCCGTGTTGGGTATGTTAGTGTAGAGGGATGTGACGTCCATGGTGACCAAAATGATGTCACTATTGGGTGGTAGGTGGGTGGAACCTACGGTTTGGATAAAATGGGTGGTATCCCTGATGTAACTGGGATAGTGTTTGACGAACTCTTTTATGTGTCCATGTGCAGTGGTTTGAGTAACTCCCATGTGCAGTGGTTTGAATAACCTCCATGTGCAGTGGTTTGAGTAACTCCCATGTGCAGTGGTTTGAATAACGTCCATGTGCAGTGATTTGAATAACTCCCATGTGCAGTGATTTGAATAACTCCCATGTGCAGTGGTGTGAGTAACTCCCAGTCGTCTAAGGCACCGCGATTCGCTGTGCAGAGTTGCTTCCCTTGGGCACGCCAGAAACCTATGATTGTGGGTTCAAATCCCGGTTCGCCCCGATTATGTTTCTAGGTTTGTCAGCACCATACCCGTGCTCGTGGGTTTCACCAAAGTGGTAAACGTCTGAGACCTGCATCACTTCGGGCTTTCCTCCCACAACAAGCTGACACGCCACGATATAACTGAAATACTGTTAAAAGCGGCGTTAAACCCAACTCACTCAATTATACCAAATCTGTGTATACAGTGTGATGTTGAAGGACGCCCTAAGTGAACAGAACACAGGGTAGAAGGACTAACACAGGTTGACAGATAAGGCGTCTTCCGTTCCTCTGGGTCCGACAGGTTTATTTTCTGAGTTCTATTTTGTGTCACTAGGTGGCGGCCTTGGCTATCTGTAGCGGTAACGGTCTGCTCCTGAAAGGAGGGAAGGAGGCCGTCAACAGCAACAAGATGCTGCACTCCCTCGTCATGGATGCTCTCGAACCATATGTGCCAAGGGAGACAATCTCATTGGTAGGGTGCATTACTATCATGTCATTATTATAAAGGTAACGCTATTTTTCAGGGCATTATCATTTGCAGAAGCCTGAGGTCTTCCATTAATTGCGCTATGAAGGAGGGCAGTTGAAAAGACCAAGGGCTTCTTCAAATGATAATGCCCTGAAAAAAAGTGTTACCGTTATTATAGCTAAAATGGATGGAATTTGTTATCAAATAAAAATAAACAACAATATCGGTTTTGAAACATTTACTGCAATCAGCACAAACGTCTTTGAGCCACTTTTACAAATATGGAAACGTCATAGAACAAACCAGATGACGTCACTATTGAACGTGACGTCACCTATCCCTATCCTATGACGTCACCTAACAACGGGTGCGATAATGGTCCGTCGTCAAGCAATATGAGGGCATTATCAAGTTACAGTGGCCTGCTGAATGTCTGATAACATGCGGGCGGTTTAATGAATATTCTATCCATTTTAGCTATAATTGAAGTTTAACATCAGATTAAAGAAACAGTGTGAATGTTCTGATACTACCCTGTATCTGATACTAGCCCTAGGCTAGTAAAATAAATAAACACAGATCTTGTTTTATTCCTCCCACATTAAGCTGGCACGCCGTGATATAAGTGGAATACTGTTCAAAGCGGCATTGAAACTCAATTCACTCAATGCAGATGTTATGCTGTATGTAGGGGTGGTGAGGTAGCAGTGTGGTTAAAGCATTAGGTCTTCACACCACAACCTGGGTTCAAATTTTCAAATAAGTACAATGTGTATGTCCACACTAGTGTCCAATTGGTTCAATCGCTGACCTTGTCAGGTGACCCGTGAAGATTCGGGGTAGAATAGGTCTTCAGGTGGCCCAATCGTCTAAGGCGCCGCGATTCGCTGTGCAGAGTTGCGTCCCTTGGGCACACCAGAAACCTAGGATTGTGGGTTCGAATCCCGGTTCGCCCCAATTATGTTTCTAGGTTTGTCAGCACCATACCCGTGCTCGTGGGTTTCACCAAAGTGGTAAACGTCTGAGACCTGCATCACTTCGGGCTTTCCTCCCACATTAAGCTGACACGCCGTGATATAACTGGAATACTGTTAAAAGCGGCGTTAAACCCAACTCACTCACTCACTCACTCTTCAGCAACCCATGCTTGCCGTAAAAGGCGACTATGCTTGTCGTAAAAGGTGACTAACGGGATCGGGTGGTCAGGCTCGCTGACGTGGTTGATGCATGTCATCGTATCCCAAGTGTGTGGATCGAGGCTCATAACGTCAATCACTGGATTGTCTGGTCCAGATTAATTACAGACCGCCGTCATATAGCTGGAATATTGCTGAGTGCGGGGTTAAACAACAAACAAACAAAACAAACCTTGCCAGGTGAATGACAATGGCGACAGTCCTTACAAAAAGCGGGATTTGAGTTTGAAACAAGTTTTAACATCACCAAAGACCTTTTATTATCGTAAGGTAAGCAGGGAATGCATTAAGGAGTAATGCAGGATAAGTATACAAATGTAAAAAATATTAAGATTTTACTAAGAGTTAGTCCCAGTGGGAACTGCGCGAACACGCAGGCACATGTCATATTCCCGTTGCTATGGGAGTTTAGTAATCTTGAAACGTATAATTGTCTTTCACCTCACCCCCTCAGATCAGCCGCCGCGAGGACATTGAGGACCTGCTCCACATGAATGACTACATCGACCTGGTCATCCCGCGCGGATCTAGCGAGCTGATCGAGAAGATCCAGAAGTCAAGTCAGGGTATCCCAGTCCTCGGACACAGCGAGGGCATCTGTCATGTGTACATTGATCAACACGCTAATGCGGACATGGCGAACAGAATAGGTGAATCTTTTACTAGAGAAGTCTGTAGACAATGAACATAGATCTCTTGTGATGTGAGATTAAATTTAAATAATTGCATTATTAACTTGTATCAGGCACTTTCCAATTTAAAACACTTTATTCATTTTTTGTTGGGGTATTAAAATGGACAGGTCTGTCAACAACAAGATGTTTCTGGAACTGATCTTAAAAAACGTGCAATATTTCTTCACCAAATTTGGCACATAGATAGGTCTATTGTGAACTGGTGCCTTTTAATAGTTTGTGAATTTTGAAAAAATATATTTTTCCAGTTTCCATCGCAACAACTTTGATGTAGATTGAAAATGGCAGTAGTGCTCGTTTCCGGAGCAGATCTTGAAAACTGTACAATATTTCTTCAATGAAGTCGGCACATATGTAGGTCCAGTGGTAAACTGGTGCTTTTTTATTGTTTGTGGTTTTTTTAATTTATTTTTTCTAGTTTCCATAGCAACAAGTTTCATATATTTATCCATGACAAGTATTTGCCATTGCAGAGGATATCGATGACTTTGTCATCTTGTGATGTTGACTGCGCCATTGCTCTTGTACAAGGTATTTCAAATCATGACACATGTTCTTCCAATACTGATAATAACAGAGATGATCTGTTTCTTGCCTCAGTTCACGACGCCAAGTGTGACTACCCCGCCGCCTGTAACGCCATGGAAACACTCCTCCTGCACAAATCACATCTCTACACCCCGCTCTTTGACAAGATCTTTGACACCTTCAAACATGAAAATGTGAGTCACACGTTCAGTTCGTGAAGGTCACATACTATGGCAGAAATGCCACACCCCAAGGACATTGTCCTGCCGTGAAGTCCTACGCAAGTGATGCTGCTTGTTCCCCATGAAGATCTGGGTTAAAACTGATTTCCACTGATTTGAGATGCACTATTTGTCTCGTACAGGATTAGCTTGTAAAGTTTGGAAATCATATGCAGCAGATCATGATGAGAATAAAAACACTCTGTGGTAACACTTGACTGATTGTTAGTTTTGTCATCAAGTGGTACACATTGGAAACATCTCTTCTTACCGTGCATACGTCTCAAAATGTTTCTGTGGTTCGCGTTTCTTTTGGCACTGAGTATATATGTGTGAACAAGATTAACTTCACAGACTGTTTTTTTAATGATTGACACATAAAAACTGCAGACAACAGTGGGAAATCAGTGACACAAGCCCCACCCATTCTACTATCAGCCAATCAGAAAACAGTGTAGTCTGTAAGTGGGGATGGCATCATGTTTTTCCAGTTTATATGATCAGATATGTCTCACTTGCTTCATTATTCATTGATTATATGATATTGTTTTGAAGGTGAAGATTCATGCTGGTCCCCGCCTCAGTCAGTCGCTGAAGTTCGGGCCGACCCCGGCCACATCCATGAAAACAGAGTACAGTGCCCTTGAGTGCACTGTTGAGGTCGTGGAGGACATTGACGAGGCCATCGCACACATCAACAAGTTTGGCAGCTCCCACACTGATGCAATAGTCACTGATGATGGTGAGTCTCACACTGACACAATAGTCACTGATGATGGTGAGTCTCACACTGACACAATAGTCACTGATGATGGTGAGTCTGACGTAATAGTCACTGATGATGGTGAGTCTGACACAATAGTCACTGATGATGGTGAGTGACACAATAGTCACTGATGATGGTCTGACACAATAGTCACTGATGATGGTCTGACACAATAGTCACTGATGATGGTGAGTCTGACACAATAGTCACTGACAATGGTGAGTCTGACACAATAGTCACTGATGATGGTGAGTCTGACACGATAGTCACTGATGATGGTCTGACACAATAGTCACTGATGATGGTGAGTCTGACACAATAGTCACTGACGATGGTCTGATACAATAGTCACTGACGATGGTCTGACACAATAGTCACTGACAATGGTGAGTCTGACACTATAGTCACTGATGATGGTGAGTCTGACACAATAGTCACTGATGATGGTGAGTCTGACACAATAGTCACTGATGATGGTGAGTCTGACACAATAGTCACTGACGATGGTGAGTCTGACACAATAGTCACTGACGATGGTGAGTCTGACACAATAGTCACTGATGATGGTCTGACACAATAGTCACTGATGATGGTCTGACACAATAGTCACTGATGATGGTCTGACACAATAGTCACTGACAATGGTGAGTCTGACACAATAGTCACTGATGATGGTCTGACACAATAGTCACTGATGATGGTAAGTCTGACACAATAGTCACTGATGATGGTGAGTCTAACACAATAGTCACTGATGATGGTCTGACACAATAGTCACTGATGATGGCGAGTCTAACACAATAGTCACATCGACACAATAGACACTTAGAATGTGTCCCATCCCCCCAATGCCATTTGAAAATGACATATGGAGGCCAGTGACACACATTCAAGAGAATAATACCGTAGTATTATTGGAATCTCTTGATCATTGAACTTACCCCCACCACGCTGACCAGTTAAGAATCTGTCTAAGCTAATATACATGTATATATTGTCACACAGACGAAGCAGCGAGTCACTTCATGAGAATGGTGGACAGTGCGTGTGTGTTCCACAATGCCAGCACCAGGTTTGCAGATGGATACAGGTTCGGGCTGGGTGAGTCGCTGACAGATGTCTGTGTTGTGTCTTCAGTGTCTTTGTGTTCTACTCAAAAGAAGTTCAAGAAAACCTGATTCCTTCACATGAATGTAGTTATATGTCATGGCTGATTTGACACCCGCTCTTTGACAAGATCTTTGACACCTTCAAACATGAAAATGTGAGTCACACGTTCAGTTCGTGAAGGTCACATACTATGAGTGGTCTCTAGTCTGTGGCAGAAATGCTGCACCCCAATGACAAAGAGACATTATCCTGCGTTATCCTGCAATGAAGTCCTATGTAAGTCAAGTGTAAGTGATGCTGCTTGTTCCCATAAAGACCTGCTTTTAAAAATGATCTTCAGGAACCATGTTTGTCGTAAGAGGCAACTAACAGGATCGAGTGGTCAGGGTCGCTGACTTGGTTGATGCATGTCATTGTATCCTAATTGTGTCGATTGATGCTCATGATATTAATCACTGGATTGTCTGGTCCAGACTGGAATATTTACAGGCTGCTATTATATAGCTGAATTTTGTGTTGAACAACAAACAAACAAAATTTCTCTCGTTGTTTCAGGGGCCGAGGTAGGTATCAGCACATCACGTATCCATGCTCGGGGCCCTGTGGGCATCGAGGGCCTGCTGACTACAAAATGGCTGCTGTCAGGTTCAGGGGAGACTGTCGCAGACTTCGCACAAGGGAAATTGCAATATCTTCACGAGAAACTTCCTCTCAAGGAGGAAAATGGAAACGATTTAGCATCAGAGGCTAATGCTTAATATGTAAATGAAATCGTCATTCAATGTTAATCCACAAGATGTCAGACATACAAATACTATTTTCCAAGTTTATGACTGAATTAATTGATTTCCACATTTTACCATTGTGGTTTTAATGATGAATATATATTTTTATTAAGAATTAACTGAGCATAGGGTTTTACGCAATTTACATGTATGTTTTTTTAATCATATATTCCATTAGGATTTTTGGGTAAAAGAAGTAAAAAATGATCCATTTTTGAGCTGACCGAAATAGGATGGAGGGTAAAAACAGCTTCCGTGAATGAATAGTACTTGTATGCCCTTGTGGGATTTTTTGTTAAGGTCTGCATGGGCCTGCAGTTAACCCATCCCGTTGTCATACTTAATGTGCATTGCATTATTCTATAGTACTCCACTTTTGAAAGGGATACTTTCCATGATACACAAAAATGATAATCATAATATGTCAAGTGTACATTTAAATAGAATGACGTAGCTGATTATCCTGATTGAGTTGCATATCATGCACATCACACCATTCGTGAAAGTGAAAATGCAAAGACAACCAAGAGTACAGGTCAGCGGTGAGGAGAGGGATTTGCTCTCAAGTTTTTTTATTGTATCAATGTAGCTGGACATCCTTATCAAATGCTGAACAGAATATTTTTCATATTATCCTGAAAGCTGGACAAAGATACGCATGTTTGTTCATATCCCTGAGTTGTACTGGGACCGTCCCTTATATCCCATGTTTATTATGAGGTCCCTATTTATATAAGGTGTAGCAGGATCACATAGGTACTTGGTTTTTTTGGCCTCCAGCATTAGGTTTTATACCATGAGCCAGAGGGACGCATAAACCCCATATACCCCGAGTGATACTGCTACAACAAATTTATCTTACTGACACGTTTAAGTATGACATTGTAAAAGAATTAAAACAAATTCAAAATTGATAGGAAACAGCTGTTTGTTTGAGATGGTTAACTTGTGCTTTGTCACGTGACTTTCATTGACTCAGAAAAAAGTGTGCGGCTTTTTGCTTCGAAGTAGGGTAAAAGGGATTTATTCCACCTTCTAGAAATCCACATGCAGCCTGTCTTGCTCGTGGCGGGGTATAAGATATTTATCCTCCCTCTGAGAAATTTATTTCCCTCTAAGGCGGGATATAAAGTATTTTATCAAGATCACGTAGACCAATCAGATCTCATCATTCTGACACGAAGGTATGATAATGCTATTTGTAGTTACTTTTAATAGTTTACCAACAAGTATGCAATCAAGCTCTAGTCAGTCTGCAGTGCATGGATTATATAAGGTAACATTATTTATATTTACACATGAAATTCCAATGTTCACTTCTGTTATACGGGGGCACGGGCGGCCCAGTCGTCTAAAGCGCTGCGATTCGCTGTGCAGAGTTGCGTCCGTTGGGCACGCCAGAAACCTATGATCGTGGGTTCGAATCCCGGTTCGCCCTGATTATATTTCTAGGTTTGTCAGCACCATACCCGTGCTCGTGGGTTTCACCGAAGTGGTAAACATCAGACCTGCATCACTTCGGGCTTTCCTCACACATTAAGCTGACACGCCACGATATAACTGGAATACTGTTAAAAGCGGCGTTAAACCCAACTCACTCACTCACTCACTTCTGTTATACTAATACAATTACCATCCACAATCCCTGTGGGGAGTCCGGGTTAGAACAAGTCGATCCCCAGCAACCTGTGCTGGTCATACGAGGCGACCAAATGGATCAGGTGGTCAGGCTCAGTGACTTGGTTAATAGCGTGTCCTTGTACAGAAAGTGTATATTGTTGCTCACAAAATCGTTCACTGGATTGTCAGGTCCAGACTTGATTATTTACAGACCAGTCATATAGCTGGAATATTGCTGAGTGTGGCATTATACAAGCAAACAGCAGCATACCCATGCTCAAAGTGGTAAACATCTAAGACCTGCTTCATCAAGCTGATGTGCCGTGATATAACTGAAATATTGTTCAAAGTGAGGTTAAACCGCTCCATTGAGGAGACTAATTTTAGAATGCACTTTCAAAGGATCCTAATGTTGCAGGGTCAAGGCTTACAATAAGTGTTTTCAGGCAGCGATGTTTTACAAAACTGGCGTAAGCAATCATGTACCTGGATGAAAGACAAGACCAAAAGAAAGAAAAGGAAATCCTGTCCTACCAGAGTTTCCGTCACGAGTCACATTTTTTCTATTTTAGCCTCATTGTGTTATCAAGTGTGAATGGTACTGTTTCTGTGATTGCTAAAGAAGATGTGATTGTTAGTTTGTTTTATTGAAATAAGCTGTTAAGTTGTCTTAGAGTCTGCGTCTTGCTATAAATTCCCCTATGTTGAACAGCAGGACTGAAGATAAGAGCAGTACAATCTACTGAGCTGATATGTGATGTATAGTTCTAGGGCTGGGACGAGTCCAAATTTACTACCCTGGTACCCGACCCCCTATTAACCGACCCTACCCGGGTACCCACTGCAAGTCTCAAGAGTAGGGAACAAAATGTCTGATTGGTAATTGTTTTACCGCAGCCCTGGTTTTAGATACATGAATCAAATAATCAGATCATGCATTCACTGAAGTTGACTGAAGCTTTATCTTTATTCAAACATGTACAAGTCAAAAGGAATGTGTGCATCGTCAGAAAGAAATGCGAACATTAGCGACTTGTAGTGTAACCACTGAGCTATAGTGAGTTTTTGTCATTAAACTATATATCACGTGACTAACCACGGGTGTGGGTAGTCCTGTGGGGACCGGGTCCTACTCAGGACCCACCTGCCCCGAATTACCCATCCCAGCCCTATATAGTTATGTTCTTACAAGTCGTGAAATCCTGGAAAATTCCTGGAATTTTAGTTTGAGTTTCCCAGGCCTGGAATAGTTTGGGAAAAAAGAATATTGTTATTAAGTCTTGGAAAAGTAATCTTTTATACCAGTGACTTTTTTCTGGTGAAATACTAATCAAAAGAAGTAAAAGAACATCAGATTCTTTCATATGACTATAGGGGGCATGGGTGGCCCAGTCGTCTAAGGCACTGCGATTCGCTGTGCAGAGTTGTCTCCCTTGGGCACGCCAGAAACCTAGGATTGTTGGTTCAAATCCCGGTTCGCCCCAGTTATGTTTCTAGGTTTGTCAGCACCATACCCATGCTCGTGGGTTTCACCAAAGAAGTAAACGTCTGAGACCTGCATCACTTCGGGCTTTCCTCCCACATCAAGCTGACACGCCATGATATAACTGGAATACTGTTAAAAGCGGCATTAAACCCAACTCACTCACTCACTCTTATGACTATAGATAATGTGTCATGACCCCGTGCCCTGTGGTACACTTGAAAACCCTCCAGATATAGCTTCTTTTGAGTTGTATCCACTCAACCATCAGCCATGAACATGTTATTATGAGTTAACACCTTCCAAAGTTTGATATTTTGTTGCCATTTTTGTTGATGTATCATCATTGAAAACTGGAATAATAATCTGGAAGTGTCATGGAAACTTGTCCGGCTAATAGTGTATGAACTCTGTAGTCCATAAATTGTTGGGGGCACAGGTGGTCCAGTCGTCTAAGGCGCTGCAATTCGCTGTACAGAGTTGCATCCCTTTGGCACATCAGCAACCAATGATCGTGGGTTTGAATCCTTGTTTGCCCCGATTATGTTTCTAGGTTTGTCTGCACCATAAGCCTGCTCGTGGGTTTCACCAAATTGGTAAACGTCTGAGATCTGCATCAATTCGGGCTGACACATCATGATATAACTGGAATAACTGTTCAAAGCAGTGTTAAACTCACTCACAGTAAGTTGTTATGGATATAATTGTTATTGTTATTTTAAGTGATGATGGTGCCATGTTTTCTCAAAATGTGCCATTCCTGTGTCCTGTGTGATGTCTCTGCCCATATAACCATATACTTGTATTAGTGGGATAATTCCATCTTCAATGAGATAATATGCAGAATTATACCAGTTAGTTAAGACTGTTACTAATCTGGTTCCAAATAAACACCATATATAATCTGCAGCCTTCTTGTTATTTACAGTACATGAACAGAGGTTGTTTCTGTTGTTTAACGCCGCACCCAGCAATATTCCAGCTATATGACAGTGTTCTGTAAATAATCAAGTCTGGACCAGACAATCCAGTGATTGACGTTATGAGCATCGAATCATACAATTGAGATCGATGACATGCATCAACCTAGTCAGCGAGCCTGACCACCTGATCCCGTTAGTTGCCTCTTATGACAAGCATAGTTGCTTTTTACGGCAGGCATGGGTTGCTGAAGACCTATTCTACCCCGGATCTTCACGGGTCGATCGATATTGTGAATACAATGACACACCATCAACCAAGTCACAGGGCCTGACTGCCCAATTCACATGGTTGCACAGCCAACAAAGGTGACCAGGGACCAAGCTCTAACCCAGAATCCCGACGGGGACCATGAGTGAGTGAGTATGGTTTTACGCCACTTTAGCAATATTTTCAGCAAAATCATGGCGGGGGGACACCAAAAATGGGCTTCACACACTGTACCCATGTGGGAATCGAACCTGGGTATTCGGTTTGATGAGCAAACAATAGGCCACCCCACCTCCCAAAGGGGTACATGAACAGAGAGTGAATAATTATGTTTTATTAAAAGCCACTGTCAGCAATATTTAAGTTGTATCACGGCAGCCTGCAAATGACCTAGTCTGTACAAGACGAACCAGTGACTGAAAGCATGAGTAACAATACTTGCAATCAGGGCATGATGACATGTTATCCGCCAAGCTTTGTTTGTTTGATGCTTAACGCTGCACGCAGCAATATTCCAGCTGTATGACAGTGGTCTGTAAATAATCAAGTCTGCACCAGACAATCCAGTGATTGACATCATGAGCATCAATCTACGCCATTGGGATACAATGCCATGCATCAACCAAGTCAGTGAGCGTGACCACCCGGCCCCATTAGTCGCCTCTTCCGACAAGCATGGGTTGCTGAAGACCTATTCTCTGCCAAGGTCTTCAGGGTCTGGTATCCATGTTAAATTGCACTGTATATCTCAGTGGGCTAGAACTATAAAACTTACATTCAGGGTACAATTGATACCCAGACTCCACTCAAGTACAGAACATGCTCTAAACTGTTGCCACAGCACTGTAGCTCACCTACATACCGGTATGTAGTCAACAGTTTAAACTGTCACAGAACACTGCCACTTAACAAATGTTTGCTGTCAGATTTGATATCCAAATATTTTTTCCATAAATACAGAAGATGATGTAAGAGCATGGTCAAACCTAAAAGATCACATTTATGATATTGCCAAAAATGTAACGTGTTGAGTACCACTACTAACATTTCATTATATTTGAAATAAAATTGGCTGTGTATAAATGATCATAAATTGATTGAAAATGGGATTTAACAAATTCATCATTAGTGAGGAAAAGCATGGTGCAGTGGTCTTGAAGAGGAATTTACAATGGACGAAGGACAAGCAAGCCACATGATAAGCTCATTTGACTTTCAGTCCAGTGAGCTGAAACTGACAAACCACAACACGAAGTATCTGAAAGTGAGTTTATTTACACAAAGCACTCTCACATCCCAAGGAATGATGTTTC